TATTGGCCCAGGAAGCCAGCTTCATGCTTCTTCATCACCAATCAAGGAAGCTGGCCAATCAGGAAGTCGGGCAGCGGGTCATTACCCACCCCCTGGCTTCCTGATTGGCCAGAAACCCGGCTCCATGGTTCCTCGTCACCAGGTAGCATGAAGCCGGCTTCCCGGCCAATGCGGAAGGCGGGTGCCGTGTAATGATTCGCCACCCGTCTTCCTGGGTGGAGAGTGATGATTCGTCACTTGGGTGGAGAGGGAGAAGCAGCAGAAGTAGCCGATCAGTTCATGTGTTGACAAGAAGCATGCTGATAGAAGGGGAAAACAGACTGACAGAGAGACTAGCCCATCACTGCGCTGCTTCTCCTTTCACTGTCCAGTCACAGCCTGGGGGGTGGGTCCAGTATGAACTGGGCTTAGAGCAAATGGGCTGAATGATGTTGGCCTTCAGACTAAGGACAGCTAGTGGCAAAAAAAAAAATAACAGGACATCTCTGAATTGAGGGTGAATGTTGCAACAAATGCTGATTTTTCTATTTTATCTTTGAACGGGCTATTCATTGTTGGCTGAAGTTCTGCTTTAACTACCAACAGCGGACAGGTGCTGTGGGTGCAATAGTAGATTCTTCCCTTTGGCATAACCCACCCAACTAATAACTCTTCCTATCTGACATTGCAGCGATCCCCACCTCCTGGGTCTAAATGGGAATTCCGCAATGAATTATGCATCCAAAGTGAGAAGCCCCATAAGGCAGCAGCTGATGGACGCTCTGAAGAAGTCCCCTCCCCCACCAGGTAAGTGTCGGCTTCTGGTGAACAGACAGGAGGCCAGCGGAGCAAGTGATTGTTTCACACAAAAACTTCCCTTGGCTTTTCACCTTAAGAGCATTCATCAGAAAGTGGATATGGTGTCGCTTTGCCTTCGCAGAAACACAAGACGGCGACTTCTGTGGCTTTTGTCCGGACACAAAGCCTCCATTATATGACAGAGCTGGTACTACCCCGGACAGAGCTGACAGTCAGAGCACACACTCCGGGAATGAGGTAAGGCACACTCGCTCCGTTCGAGTCTTAAAGGGAAATTATCAGGGCTCATTCACATCATAACGCACTTGTGTTTTCTTGCATTCATAGGCATTGCATTAAGACAGCCAATTATTTTGCCCAAACACGCACAAAAAATTGGACCTGCGCTATTTTTGGCAGTTCAACCCAATGCACAAAGTATTCACATCTGTGCGTTTTGTTTTGACTGAACAAGTGCGTGTTTTCTATAGGCTCCTATATGTCTATTATTAAAGTGATGCTAAACTCAGGAGTTAAACCTTAAAATACATTCAGGTACCTGAACTATTAACAACAATGTATCTTATTTGTGTCTCACACGGCTGTAGATCCTCAAAGTAGCCCCCCTCCGGAAGGAAGGACAGTGTCAGCAACAATTCAGGGATGATTTGAGGATCTACAGCCGAGTGACACACAAATAAGATACATTGTTATTAGTTCAGGGACTTGAATGCATTTTTAAGGTATAACTGCTGAGTTTTGTGTCACTTCAAATGTTGATCTCTGTGTTTTATATAGGCTAAGGCCTCATTCACACTGCCGCGTGTACTGTGCCATATGCAACACATGCAAATAAATGGCTACATACACATAGCCACGTATGGAGCCGAATATTTGCGTAGCATATATATGCGCAAAAACAGAATGGAACAGAGATGCATCCGGGCAGCGTATTTCTGCTTTTTTACGCACACATACGCACCTACATGCGTGCAGCACATTAAAAATTCCATTACGAGTGATGCATTCTGGGATTGCATATAGTGCACGCATATACGCGCATAGACACTCATATATAAGCAATATACAATTTTGCTTGCGTTGTGTGTGAATGAGGCCTTGTACTGCATATGCATCAGATATGTTCTCATGTTAAATGCATGCACACCAACACAAATTAAAAGCAGCCTAGAGCCTTACCTGGTGGCTAAAAATGAGAATAGAAAATATTCATGTGAAATATTCTGGAGAGAAAGAAAAATATGTATTTTGCATGGAGCATCCCCATGTGCATGTTTGTAGATCCACTGACAACAGACACGAATGCTGCAGGTTTGCATGGATCTGATGCGGCTTCGTATGGGTGGCATGCAGGAATCCTGAAATAAACCGGCTGATATAGAAGCTGTCATTTCTCACCGAGGTAGATTAAAGTGGAACTTTAAGTACCTTTACAAGTCTACATCACATTCTGGCCTTGTCAAAATATTCAGCAACAAGATCATTAAAAAAAATTCAGTACGAATTAACAGTTAAAAGCCAAGTTGACTTTTACTTGGCTGATCCAAAATGGTCTGCTGCAGGCAGGTAGAAGCATTTCCTCATTCTCAAAGCTGCAGCAGAGGGCTGATCCGTGTCACTCATCTATGAACACAGGCAACAAGACTTACATGATTGCATCATCCCTAAGCTGCCTAGATCCTAGACGTCGCTGTGACATCATGGGATCACATTTGGGCATTGGGATTGGTTTACTCACATGTAAGGGTGTGTATATATGCTTATCATGTTTACCTGCATTTTTCACTTGTTCTGCCTGATGAAGGGGATCCTGTGTGACCCCGAAACGTTGCAATAAGTGTATTGTTGCATGAAACGTCAATAAATAGACGTTTTTCTACCTTGGAGTGCCGGTTTCCATAATTTCTTATACTATTCAGACGGTGGCCATCCGTCGACTACTGATGCAAAGACGCCTCTGCCCTGGAAATAAAAGCAGATGAAGACATTGTGAGGGGAAGTCCTGTGATCTCTGTGGGAGGTAATAGGAAGTGTTATACCGACCCATTACTTGGCAAGGGAGTGCAATGGGTAAATGGACTATCCCCAAGCTGCCATCTCAGTCCAGGAAGTAGATGGTGATCCTGGATGATGGCTGAACAAAGACGCCTCTGCCCTGGAAATAAAAGCAGAAGAAGACATTGTGAGGGGAAGTCCTGTGATCTCTGTGGGAGGTAATAGGAAGTGTTATACCGACCCATTACTTGGCAAGCAAGCGCTTAACACGAAAACATCTATCTGATGCTAGGTCTGCTTTAATGACGTCAAAGAAAATGACATCGCTCTACATATTCCAAGAAATACTTTGTAGTAAAATCCCTTTTGACGTTAACCAGCTAAATAATTTTGAGAGGACGTAAAAACTAGGAATGAGCCAATCAGACTTATTCAGTGCGATGCAAGATTGCGCAGGCATTCAGGAGCCATGACGTTACCATGAAAACTGAAAATGTACTTACATTTCAATGAGGATTCATATCCTGCAACAGAAAAGTGTAGGAATTGGAATATATATGTATGTTCTGCAGATGGAGGTCTTCTGGGCAGCCCATGGCCTCCAGCCAGAGAGATGCAAGCCCGGGATTGAAGCTCCTTTGTTTCCCTATAGTTAGGATTACAGCATACAGCCACCACCTGCCTCTTGGGTAATAATCGCTCAGCCGTATCATGTAAAGGCAGATGGCTGGCAGCAGTCCCCCGCCACCTCTCTGTACACAGACAATGACTAATTACGTAACAAGGCGGCATTCTTACAACAGGTTGTTAAATGGGAGTTATTGGCAGGTCATCCCACTGGAGAAACACGGGTACAGTTGCCAACACTCCATGACTTTCCAGGTTGCCTATAAACCAGCACATGTGATGCCAGTGACACAAGTTATGATCAAAGTGCAGTTCAAGCTTGAAAAGCCTTTTTATACTTTTATGTGCAACTTACAAAATATTGATATACAAAAGCTGAAGATGGCCATCAACTTTCTGAATTGGTTTCCATTTTTACTTCCAGCTGGCTGGTGATGCGATTACTGTAGGAGATACAAGGCAGGAGCCGGAAGCAGGTACAGTGCGTTTACTGGTGTGTCTGTAGCTCCATGGTGGGCAGTGAGCAGCGGCAGTGAGGCCACTATTGCCCTAAAGTGTATGTCAAGTCAAAAACGTTTTACTTTAGTTTTGGATAGAGTTGGGAAGGATTAGAACTCGTGTTGGGTTTTTAATGCTATCCTGAGCTCCATCAGAATGATGACACCCCCCACCCCCACCGGTCCCACTTCTTGTCCTACTGACCAGGGCGTCACCAGACAGGATCAGAGGTAAAATCAGCAACAGCGACACAAACAGAAAAAAATATCTGACAGGGTTCTCGTCTTTCCTTACTCTGCTAAAGAAAAGCTTGTCTGTTTCTGTCTGTGCTGCTGATGGAGGGTCACCCTCATTTTCCATCTGGTAAAACCATGTCAGCAAGACAGGAAGTGAGGGGGGTAATCACTATAGTGGAGCCCCTGACAGGGATTCTAACCCATCTCCACTTACAGAAAAATAAGTGGACATGCACCGTAACACAATAAAACTTTTCTCTCCATACAGTTTCCCCGAAAATAAGACCTAGTTGTGACCAAACCCAGTGCCGGTGGTGGTATAAGGGGGAACTTGAAGAGCCGCGGTTGCCAGCGCTAGAGGAAGTGAGGCGGCACCAGAGGGAACAGAGTTGCATAAGCTGATGCCTCCTATATAGCGCCGCCTCCTGTCACAGGCGGAGTGATATCAAATGCACTCCGCCTGTGAGGAATCGATAGTGAAAGCGCGCTTCGCTCATTCTGGCCAGCGATTGGTTAGCAAATTGCTCTTGGAAAGGTACGGCACCCGATTGCCCTGATCACCATATTTTTCTACATGAATAAGTGTGGATTGTTATACATTGAAGAAAAAAAAAAGACAGATAAGACCTACCCCGAAAATAAGACCTAGTGTGTTTTTTTTTGAGCCCCAAAAAATATAAGACAGTGTCTTATTTTCGGGGAAACACGGTAGTTGTAATGATCAGGGGGGCATAAGAGCACAAGAAGAAGTTTGAAACCCTGACGCAGGTTCTGTAATGAAAAGACATTCCGGTCAGACTGAATTGCTGCAAAATATTTCACAAACTTTTGCCGAGAATTTGTTTGGCAAATCATCAGATACCAAAAAATTCCCATAATCAGGACCAAGCAGATGAATAGACAAGCAATGACAAAGAGAACCAATGATGTCAGATTCAGACTATGTGGCGTGCTAACGCAGCCCAATCATTCTAAATGGGATGGCAGCGCACCTCAATGCAACCTCAAGAAGCACCTACACCTGTTTCTGCAATGCTTACATCTGTGTGTTGTGGTGTGCTAGCAAGGTTCATTGGGATGCCATTCAAAATAAATGACACTGTACTGCAGATTGTGTTTTACCATCTGATGTGACCTTAAAGGAGAACTATGAGGCGAGTGAAAATCACTCAGCCTCATATTTCGAAAAGACATGTGACAATGAAACTGTTACGCGTCGGCTCAATAGATCGGAAAATGAGCAAACAAATGCCGTCGCTTGCATACTTCTCAATCATCTCCCTGCAGAGAGTTGTGACTGTCAGTAATGACTCCCCGCAGGGATTTCCCCCCCTGCCTCCCTGCTCCTCCAGCGCTGACTGGCGGAACGGACGGGGGAGGGGGCAGGTACTGCTGGCTCTGCCTCTAGATAGGCAGAGCCAGCTGTCACTCACGCAGCGGGGTGGATCTCGACAGTAATGTCAGGATCCGTCCCAGCTGCGGCGGCTCAGTATACTGCAAGCTGTAGCTCGCGATATACTGAGCTTTGGGTCACGGAAGGACGCTAGTATATGCCCTCCAGTGACCCTTAAGAGAACTATGGGGAAAACCACTTACCCCATAGTTCTCTTTTAAGTATAGTCAGTGTGTGGAAGACTAAGCAGGACAAAGGAAAAAAAAAAGTGTACATACATATATATTTATACATACACACACATGGACAGGTTTAAGATAATAGATTCTCTTTAAAGGTGTTATGTTTTATGACAGCAAATGGGGAAAAAGAATACTGAATTTCAGTGTTATATCTGTATGTCTATAGAGGTGCGGATCAGTCCAGAAAGTGACAGAGCAGCTGGTTCCTCTCTTTATGATATGGAAAAGAACAATACAATGGATGAAAGGTAACTTTTACATTATATTTCACATGGATTGCTTGTTACAGAGTGCGAGATTCACCCATCTCCCTCTCTGACCTTAAATCTTAGTCTTTCCTACTCAGGACCTCTGTAACTCTTCAATCATTCATCCTCTCATCAGTCATCCTTCTCACACATCTTTCTTAAACAACAACTCTAGGAAAAACTTTTCTTAACCCTTGCAGTAGGGCTACCCCCACACTGCAAGGGTTAAGTGCTCATTTTTAAAAAACGTTATACTCATCCGAACCTCGCAGCTGGCTGGCTGTTACAGTGCTCCCTCCAGCCTCCCCCTTCCTGTATTCCATCGATGGTATGTCCCTTGGAATCCTTGCCTCCAATGCAGTGTATTGGATGTGGTTAGTCAAGGATTCCTAGACTGCTGGAGTGGAGGTGGAGAGAGGCGATCCGGCCAGCTACAAGGTTCAGGTGAGTATATATTTTTTTTTTGTAGCACCTAGACAAAAACAAGCACTTAAGCATTGGAGTGCAGGGTTAGCCCCACTGCAAGGGTTAAGAAAGGTTTTCCTTCTAAATACTTTACTCATGACATCCTCATACACTATATTGCCAGAGGTTTGTGGACAACTGACCATCACACCTATATGTGCTTGAATCGGCAACCCCCACCTTTGTGGCTATACCAGTTTTAATTCATCTGGGTGGGCTTTCCACATGCTTTTGGAATGGGTCTGTGGGAATTTTTGTGCCATTCAGCCAAAAGAACATATGTGAGGTTAGGTACTAGCGTTGAAAGAGATGACCTGTCTTGCAATCATCATTCAATTTCATCCCAGAGGTGTTGAGTTCAGGAGCTATGTGCAGGCCAACCATGGCAGTCTCCAGGCTATTGAACATTTTCAAGTTTTAACCCCTGAAAACATTTACATGGAAGCTCAAAGGGCAGCAGGCATAATCCAAATGCATAGCAATCAGTTTCTCATGGCATGTCGTGGATTATTTGGATCGATAAAGCTCTATATTTTATTGTTAGGAAACCATTTTAATTCCAGTAAAAGAGGTTTTTGTATACATCAGATTAATGTTAACAAAAGAGTGATGCTTTATTATGGAAAGCAGGAAAGACACTATGTGGCGTAAGGACAAAATCAATTCTAATCCAATGCAATGGATTTGTGAATTGAACAGATTGGTAACTACATGTAGAATGGCCGAACGCAGTTTAGTGATCAGACTTTTATGTTGCAGGAAGAAAAATTCTCTGTCTGCCCAATGGCTCCCCGATTTCTCACCACAGCACTGGACCTCAAGACTATCCCTTAAGAAACAGCCACCACTGCCACCTCTTCACGTGAAGACAGACAAGGACATCCAGCCAGAGAGACTTGGGCTCGGTTACTTGTTCCCAGGATCACACTCTGACCCCAACATCCTAGAAGCACAATTAGCAGTAGACCCACTCCGCAATCTCAGATACATAAAGGAACACATAAGACAAAGTAATCTATTCCTTTATATTACTTTGAAATGTGTTAAGGTCAAAGCCTGAAATAGATTGCTGTACAAAATAATTGTGATATTGGGTGGTGGATTCAGATGGGAGAGATGTTTTATTTTTTTTATTTTTCTAAACATGGATTCAGAATAGCTTTCCATTTAGAAGAATTAGAAGAAATCCATAATGTTGCAGTTGGCTTGGAAAGTTGGGGGGAAGCATGCGATTAGTGGTAATGCTCTAATGTGCATTATACAGCTTACTGTGGCATCCTTGCAACACCTAATGACAGTACCTGGAGGCCACGAAAACCTAATGCTCTGATGATTTAACACTGTGCACCATGCCAAATGCTAAGACTGTCTTTACACTAACCCCAACCATGAAATTCTTGTCATGCATGTTAAAATCATGCCCACTAAACCTTAAAAACCAGCTGTGAACTTTAAGTAGGGTTGCCCTTTTATTGTTGGTTGAGCATAACATGTCCTGGCAGACTATACTCCACCTCTGCTGCATTTCACTCCTTACTTATGAACGAGCACATTGTCACTTTATATACAGTATGCCTTACTAATCAAGTGTTTCTTCCGCCATCACTGTCTGACAAGTCACGCGCACAGCCCCACTAACTAATCAGGTGCTGCTTTCTCAGCCTCTGTCTAACCAGGTACAGTCAAAATAAACATTATCTATATTCTTATTCTCTTAATCAGGTGTGGCTTCCTCCTCCACTAACAAGGCACATACTGTCACTTTATAGAGCATACTGATTCAGCAATACTTCCTCCTCCTCCGCTATATGATATAGCACACACACACCTTATATATCCACCCATTCTGTAAGCTTACTGGACTAGGCCTGGCTCATGTAATGTGCATACTGATTCAGCAATACTTCCTGCTCCTCCACTATATGCTATAGCACACACTCACCTTATATATCCACCAATTCTGTTGCTTCCCGGACTAGGCCTGGCTCATGTAATGTGCATAATTTTGCTGTACAGCTGTAGGTACTTGCTGGTCAAATGTTTCTGTATTGGCATTTAGCGTTGTCTACTACGCAGTTTGCACACCACTGCAGGAGTTGATGAGGCTATACAAGGCAGTAACAATAATTTGCAGTACAGTAATGAAGACCAAAAAGTTGCTTCAGGCAAGAGAGGCAGTTTTCCATTCACAGCCTTTGATCTATGGAAAAACTGACTTTTTATCTAAATTATGTATACCCATTAAGAGGAACTGAACATTAAAAACTTATATTTTTGTTTTTAAGGATTAGGTTCGGGAGAATCCACAGGAACCAGTAAGGTGAGACTAAATAAAATGCCTACATATCCCAAGCTGCACATCTAAATTATAACTATTTGGGTTTTGACATTCCACCAATGCCAACAGTGTGAAATTAAATGAACACATAAGACAGTGACATAGGAGTCATAGGACACAGGCATCACAGGGTCCTAAAAGTGCTAAATGCCAAACAGATAGATGCTGCAGCACTGAAACAGACTGCCACTGAGGTTAGTATACTATTTCTCTTGCAGGGAACTGGCCTTATAAATTTGTTTAGAAAGCAGACAGGGTAACTTCGTTTGGCCAGCAACGGTAAGAGCTTAGTGGCACTGTACCCATCTCTTTGGTACAAAAGTCATGCTCAGGATAAGTAAGCTTAGAATGAAGTAATTATAAATTCTTTCCTAGGTAAGCTTACAGAATTATTGCAGAGTATTCAGATTCCCCCACCTTCCTCTTTAATGGTCTTCAGACACATATTTATTCACCAAAAAAAAAAACCTTTCGATAACTGTAAAAAATAAATGGAATATATTAACCTTTTAGAGTACAGGCCTTAATATATGATTTGGTAAACCATACAAGGCTCTTTACACCATTGATCATAAACCAGTACCAGCCTTGGGCAAGGATCAGGCTTTTTATGGCTTCCTTAGGGAACAATGATCAGTGCCAGATAGTTGAAGGCAATTGTTATAGGAAGTCCCTAGAAAATCTTAAGCGCAAGCTGTTACCTGCAGGTGCTCTGCTTCAGTCACATTAGAAGCCCTGGCACTACAGAGCATTGGCAAAGGTCACCCCACTCGTTCTCAGGCAGATATCGGTTCATTGGTAACCATGAAAAATATGTTGCAACAATTTAAGCGTTTATATTTCTCATTTCAGACTTTTCCTCCAGTATCTTATTCTCCTCAATCCCCTAAATCCTACAGACTAAGACCCTTGCCAAAATCCAGCAAAACAGAAAGATCAATTTCCATTCCTAACTCAGAGGTGTTGGATAAATCCAGAAGCAACAGATTAACATGTGGACATGAGTGTGTTCGAAGGCCAGTGGAAGTATTGGATATGGTCTTATCTAAAGAGCAAATTCAGATTAGCTTGGCCAGTGTTAGCAGTTGTGAAAGTGCAACCCACATGGGTGATCTGTCATCAAGAAGTGCTCACTCAAGCATTGGATATGGCTCTGGAAGGAGAGGGAACAAAGAAGGCTCAATGAACAATGTCAATACTAATCTACCTCAAATTTGCAGCAGAATACCGGAACGCCACACTCATGACAAGACTCCAAGGAGGAGCTGGAGAGAAGAGACCCATTCATCATTAGAAAGTGAACCTTTAGCAGTACAGAAGAAACCTGAAACTGTAAAAGACACACCCTGTGACAGAAAAGACAATAAGTTAGTTACTAGTTGTGACAATGACCTGCTGAAACATGAGACACACTTGTTACTCAGTAATGTGACTAACAAAAACACAAAAGAGGACAATATCAAAAAGCCATTAAATGATACCAGCCTACTGGATGTGAGCAAAGTCATAGAGTTTGTCAAAATTAATTCACCGAGGACACCCAGGGCAAGCTATGTGCCTTTCGTACAAATCACCTTCTCTGAACAGGAGGCTAAAACAGAAGTTCATCATCCTCCAGCCAAACAGTTCCTTTCCAAAAGGAGGCCAAACCTGAGTATTCTCACTCACATCAGTAGAAGTTTTAACATAAATGCCCAAAAAGAAAACAAAAGTAAGAAAACTAAAAGCATAAGAAACAACTCCGCTCCTAACTTAAAATATCCAAGGCCTCTCTCCAACAGTAATGCAAATCGTGGCAAATGTGTGGCTTTGCCTGCTTTGGCATACTCTTCTGGGCCTTCACCCACGAAAACGTCAAAGAAAGCCGGCAGCAAGCCAGGCAGTGCAGAGCAGAACGGCCAACGTTCACAAACCCAGTTATCCCTTTATACAAAGAAAAGAGTAAAGTCTCCTGTTAATCCAGCCATGCCTCCGCGAGCAAAGACGGCTCATGATTTCCAGGACATACATTACAGTGACATGTTTGTTGAGATAAAACCACAAAACAATGGCCCGGGTATCTTCCAAATGTTTGAGACTCCGGTTTATATCAATAGTTCTAAAGAAGACACAAGCGGCCGTAAGGAATCTAGCTCTGCCTCATCCACTAGAAGCCGTTCCTCCAAAGGTATTCGGTCAGGGTCTTCACGAGAGAGCAGTGCAAGATCTTCCAAAAGAGCAAAACCTAGAAACAAAAAAAACTCCTCTGCCAAAAAATGTCAACGCAAGAACTCATTGACAAAATCAGTGGCTGTGGAAGATATTTCGGGGGGGAAAAAAGATGATATGGTCATTATATCCGGGATAGATTGGGAAATCAAAACCCTAAAACAAGAGCAAAGTGTTAGTGACAGTACAACAGATAACCTACCACACGTCTTACATCCAGAGTTTTCAGATTTATCCATGATTAAAGAAGCCACAATAGAGAACTCACTCAGTGGTCATGAAGCAGATCAAATCACCTTCACTAAAAGGTTCCAAGAGGCGGGACAAGTGAACTTTACTGACATTTTGAAAAAGGAACACATTGATCCTGTTGCATCAGTAGAGAGAAATGGAATAGAAAATGTTGAGCATCCGGCCCAAAGCAAAAGCAGTGAAACAGATGAGGAACAAAATGGACAAACATGTGAAGTGGAAGCATTAGGACAACCATCTCAGAAGCCCAATGCTGCAGGAAGATCAGAAGATCGGCTCTCGCAAAGTGAAACCACCTTTATTAATCTCATCTCCAGAGAAATTAATGAGGAACTCTTGAGTGAAGACAGTGAAGACAACAGTGAAAAAGACAGAACACATCAGGTGTACTGCATTTCCATCCCTATGAAGAGTATACACAGTAGTGGGACCAGCGACATGCTGATTTCTTTTGAAAGGTGTTTGAAACAGATCGATGAACAGTCCAATGATTCAAAAATGGTGGAGAAGCATCAAGACGAAGATCAAAGTGCAAACATTTACCACAAGCAACACGCTGATGAGCCTGGAAGAGAGATTAATCAAATACAGGTAACAAATAATGTCAGTCATTAAAGCAAACTTCTGAGATATGCAGGCTTTCCTTGCTGACCATCTCTTGGAAATGGCAGCCGTCCCTGGCTCAAATACTTTAAAGTCACAGACCTAGAACATGCAGAATGTCAGACCTCCTAATGAGCATACTTGTTCCAGGTCAGTAACCAAAAAGTACTGAAGCTTCAGGGTAAGCATGAAAGCCTATCATATTTTTCTTTTAAATATGTTCATGCACCTCTGGGTGCCTAATTACCATTAAAAAGTGACCCTGTCATGACATAACATTTTTCAAACCAGACGTACGTGCAAAACAAGAGATGGAATACTTGCTTTACAATGCAGCAAGAACACCGTTCCATTCCTCTCCAGTATGGGTGGAAACCGAGACTTCCTGGAGTGTCATCTTTTGCGTCCTGCAGCTCTGATTCGTTCCTCCAACCAAAACGTATTACAAGAAAGTAATTACATGAAGGTCAACAGGGGAACCAGAAGACTTATACTTCCCATAAGTGTACATGTTTCCCTGTGGGCTGCAAGGGAACCATTTCTACAGAACTGTGCAGTGTTCTGGTAGCAAGGGCAGCAGGAAAGCTGCTGAAAGTGTTACCTTTCATTTTGCAAGTATGCCTGGTTTTAAAAATTGTATTTCATGGCAGTATCATCTTGAAGTTGAACTAAAGACACAAATAAATGTATAATTATATACACACATATATACATACATATATATATATATATACACACACACACACATATATATATATATATACAATCTCTTACAGCAGACGTGGGACAGCTGCAATGTCCGTCGCTGGCTCCAAGTATTTGGGGAGAGTATGCTTTGCTCCCCATACTTCTCATTTAAACTTAGTATGAAATCAGCATGAGACTACTTTAAAAGGAGAAGTATTGGGAGAGTAAAATATACCCTTCCCAATAGTTTGAGCCGACGTGCAACACTGAAACGGTCACACATCGGCTCTAAGGCTCGAGAACTGAGCTATCACAAACCGCTGATCGCTCAGCTCATGGTATTCTCCCTGCAGCGAGTAGTGATGGTCAGTCACCACTCCCTGCAGGGATTCCTCCCCTCTCTCTCTGTTCATCCAACACTGATTGGAGGGACAGAAGGTGAGGGGGCAGGCACAGCAGACTGCCTCCAGAGAAGCAGAGCCAGCCGTCAGTGGGACAGCAGGGTGGATCCCAACTATATTGTCGGGATCTTTCCCAGTTGCAGCACGGCTCTGCGCGGTTTGTTTTGCTGTGTGCGCTCCTGTTCAGAAGATTTCACCTCACTTTCTGTCCCTGTGAAGACATTGTTTAAGTGTAACTGCAGCCAAATTTTGTTGTTGTTTTGGATAGCTTAGAAAAGGGTTAACCCCCCTGTAACGTTTGTTTTGCTGTGTGCGCTCCTGTTCAGAAGATTTCACCTCACTTTCTGTCCCTGTGACAATTGGATTTTTAAAATTTTGGGTTGTCGTGGAAACAAGGATTGGTGATAAAGCTTCAGTAGAAACACCTTTTTCCCATGATCACTATTACAGGAGTGAATTTCCCTTTTTAGGGGTAGATTTCCTTACACTTCCTGTTGTCTCAAGGACAGGAAGTGATATTAAATCTTTCTGAGGATACAGACAGCAGTAAAAACCTCACAGTGACCCAAAGAAGAGGCAGGCACCCCTCGTCTGCACAACAAGAGCCAACTTCCTGTAATGTACGTACAGTACTACAAACCAGACCCAAAAAAGCGGGCACTCCTAGTCGGCACGTGCGCGGTAGGATTACAACTACCCCTGCTGTACAGTAATAGCCTCCGTTTGTAAGTAGGAGTCGGATGTAAGTAACTCGGGGACTGCCTGTAGTTCTCTTTTAAGCAGTCACTTTGCAATTGCATGCAACAGCTAAAGTTGTTTTTTCTCCCAGTCTAGTTCTATTGCAGTTCTGCTTTGGGTTACTGAATCTGCAAGGCGTTTGCATGCAAATAAAACTTTCTGCAGCACGTCTGAATCTATCAAAGGTCACTGCCTCAGACTGTACAGAGATGCTTTGCTTTTGCTTTACTTTTTCATTAGTAAATTCTGCCAAATTTTACATTTTGGCTAAATATTAGAACTTCACATAAAAACTTAGCTATGTTTGGATGTATTTCAGTAAGAAACAGTTACATTGACAGAGAAAACACAGGACAAAGTTTAAAAAGGCCAACAAAAAAATGTTGGTTAGTATATTTGTTCTACTTTAACATTATTCAGTAGCAGTGCATTCAGTTTAGGACATACACCTTGCTGCAAATTTGACAGCCATCGAGCTGTGACAGATCTCAGCTGTCCTTAAGACTGAAGAGTCAACTGCACAGAGGAAATGAATGCTGGCGAAGAGCCGAGAGCTTCACCCTGGTGACCGTTGTCAGCTGCCAGCAGAAATGATAAATTCAGAGCAAGGTGTATTTCCGTTTCAGTGAAAATATATACAAATATATAACATTTTGATAACTTTTAATCAGACATGACAACAGATCTTATGGAGCATTGCAGTACCCATTACGTAATGGCAAGTCGGCAACCACTGCAATGTGCGCTCTTCATGGTCAGGGAGATCCAATTGCCACGAATCAGAGTACACATTGAACAATCAGAGATGAACACGTTTAGATTAGAATTCTGTTCAATCTTCCAGAAAACTTTCTTATATTACAATTTTTTTTGACCTTGTAGATACACATCTGATAAACTAATGAACCAAGCTGAGCAATTTACAGGAGAACATTGCAGCTTCTGAGAATCTGTCCATCCACAGCTTAGTGTAGGTACATACACTACTTTTCACGCCACGATTGGACGTTTTTGTTGCATTTCGGCTGATTTTGTTTAAAGCAGATTGCATATTTGGTAAAACGTGTCCTCTTTGGTGGCAACCAATAATGTGTACACACAACTCAAAAAAATGTTTTTTGTGAGGTGGTCTTGAAAAGGACACATTTTACAAAACAGTTGCAGTCACAAAAACAGATAGCAGCTCTTGGTCATGGTACAGATAGTGTAGCGATTACATAACTTGAAGTAAGAGAACACCTTGTAGTCCACATCTAATGAACAATGACAAGTGCCAGAAACCACTGCAAGGTGCAGTCTTAAAGGGTATACTGGAATGTCGTATCTGTAGACCCCATGGGTTACAATTACCCAAATTAAAGTGCAGCTCTGCATTTTGTGTGATATCTAAAGGCAAGAGGGTCAATCAACTTTGTAAATAGAATTAGTTATCCATGTCCTGACTTGCCCATATAGACTATGGAAGTAACAAATAGACAATCAACATTTTCATATGGCGAAATAAGTCCATGAAGGCTGATTTGCAGAGTTATCTAAAGACTGCAAAGACACAGCCTTCCATTTGTTTTTACCAAGACCATATTGATGTTAATTTCTGGATGTAATGGATATACAGTCAGGAGTCAACATAAAATGAACAAGATTCTAAATACTATTTACATAGTTGATTCATATCTCCGGCTTACAGCATCACATCTGTCAAAGTAGAGGCATTAAAGCAATGCAAATTAGAGTTCTGTTTCAATAACAGTCAAAACACATAAAAATAAATAGTGTTGCAATGTTTCCACTTTCTTTAAGCTGAATCTGTCATGATAAAAAGCAAAACAAAATTAAAACTTCAAAAACTAATGAACAGATGTATCAGACCGCATTGCGTCCTGTACAGTTGGTGTGCAGTCCCGTCCTGAGATACTTGGGGCTTTTCCTTCCTCCCAAGGAAGCGTCTTCATGGTCGTCCTGAGTCTTAATAGTAAGGGAGCTAAGGGGATAAGAAATGAAATAAGGATAGATGGATAGCTAGAGATCGATTGAGCATTCTTAAAGAAGTCAATGTTCTTTGGGATTTCCATGGGGGCTCCTTTTTGGGAACTTTAGAAATTAAAAGATGGCTCTATTCTGGCTGATTAGCAACAATTAAGGCCCAGTTTGGGGGCTGAAACATGTAAGCATTTGTTTGTTGCTGTTATGTCTTTTTACAAAGTAGTGGATGGACGGACCCCCCTTGCGAGTGCCGGGATTTTACCTATTGAGCAGTATGGCAATCCATTACTTTTTAAAGGCCCACTAACTATAATTATCCCACTGGTTGTTGTCTTTTTGCAGATCGGCAGATGTACGAGCCCCAGTGACCGTAACATCAATAACTCCTCCCAGTCTGAGAACTACTTCAAGCCTAGTGATGACAACAGCTCCATTCACTGGATAAAGGGAGAGGTGCTGGGGAAAGGAGCGTATGGAACGGTAAAGTCTGTTATTCACAGTACAAGGTTAATTTCTGTTGTCAAGGGTTTCTATTCCTGTCAGATGTATAAACTCAGCCTGCACTCCTGGTAAAGTATGGGAATCCTCAGGAGACATGAGAAACTGCCACACTCAACTGGTTACATAATTATTATCTTTAGGGTGAACTGATCTATTAAAGTTAGGGTTGCACAGATACCAAGTACAGTACTCGGTACAAGTACGAGTACATGAACCGATACTTTTGAGCTCCAAGACTACACTAGAGAAAAATTCAAAACTTAGGAGGCAGCTGTCATGTGTAAGGAGCACACGGAGCTTCTGGGATTTGTACATCTCTGTTTTAATGTACGATTTTGTTTTTATAAATATAAATAAAGGGCTGCACAGATACCAGTTGTGCGAGTACGAGTACTGGTACTTGCCGAGTACTTACAAGTACTGATACATTTTTGTTTATTGTCATGTGACAGTTTCTCTAAAACAATACAGACTAATGATTTCAGGACAGTGGTGGAGCACCAGAGCCAGGTCCCAGCTGCAACAGCTGCAACTCTGGTAGTTCATGAAAATGCCAAGTATCTGCACTGGTACTCGAAAAGTATCTGTGCATCCCTAATTAAAGTATAATGGCAATACAATAGTTTTGGACAGAAAGTGGAAGGGATAGAACCCATGTCAGTTTTGTTTCTGCTATCTGGGACATCGTTAGTGATTTACCCTCACTTCCTGCCCTACTGAAAACATTTAGAAGACAAAGTGATGCCAATTTGGGGATTTTTCTTTCAGTCTCTGTTGCAGGTTTTCCATCACTTCCTGTCTGGTGAAAACATAGTCATCAGGACAGGAAGCAGGGATATACATCTCCTAAACTGGTCTCATTGGCAGTAAAAACCCCACAGGAGTTCTCCTTCTCTACTCTCTATTTTGCTTGACTTACATTTTAAAGGCAGGGGTTATTAACTGAAGGTATCCATACCCCTTGAAGGTATGGGACTGGACCTCTAACTTTATAATTAAAAAAAATATTTGAGTAACTGTACCCTGAATCAATGCTTATATGGTACAAAAACAGCAAAAATAGCACAAGCTGCAGCCAGTGTATTTCTGATTTGCCATTTTTATATAAATATGGTGAAATCCTTGTGATTTAATTTTAGCTAGTGTGTATCTATCCATCTATCTATACGATAGACTTTTTTGAAGTCATGCTAGTATCTAATGGTCAGTCTGGCAAAGAAAGTATGGGGGCAGTCCATGGGTAATATTTAAAAGCATAAAGCTGCAGGGAGTTTGTGACTAAGCCACTAATATCCCCATAAACAAAGCTTAGACGGAGGAATCTGATGCACTTTTTTCATCTGACCATAGAAAATCTGCACATAATATATAGGTGTATGGTCAGCTTAAGCCTATTTATTTTTTATGCTATGCTTCAATAGCTTCCAAGAAGCTGCTTCTCAATGTACAGATGATGTACATAGTGACATTTTCTTATTGTCTTTTGGCTACAGGTGTATCGTGGTCTCACAAGCCAAGGGGAGCTCATTGCTGCCAAGCAGGTGATGCTACACAGCTCAGACCCAGCTGTAGCAGAGAAGGAATATAAAAAGCTGCAAGAGGAGGTGGACCTGTTAAAGGCTCTGAAAAATGACAACATAGTCGGCTTCCTCGGCACCTGTCTGCAAGACAACATAGTGACAATATTCATGGAGTTTGTACCTGGGGGCTCCATAGCCAGCATTTTACGCCATTTTGGGCCACTGCAAGAAGCTGTAATAAGTAAATACACAAACCACATCCTGCAAGGCATCGCCTACCTGCACAAAAACAGGGTGGTGCACAGAGATATCAAGGGCAACAACGTCATGTTAATGCCCAATGGGGTCATCAAACTAATTGACTTTGGCTGTGCAAAACGCCTCAACGGCGTGAACATGAATGGTACTCGAGGGGCAATGCTGAAATCGATGCATGGGACGCCATACTGGATGGCCCCAGAGGTCATCAGTGAGTCTGGACATGGGGAGAAGTCTGACATATGGAGTATTGGTTGCACAGTGTTTGAGATGGCAACTGGGAAACCTCCACTGGCACACATGAACAAGATGGCAGCAATGTACTATATTGCTACACAGAAAGGGCTCATGCCAACTCTGCCTGACCACTTCTCAAAGAAAGCCAGGGACTTTGTAAACTTGTGTCTGATAAGGTGCGTAAATCCTGTACGAGTGATTTGCAAATAATAATGCAAAATTAAGCTGTTGCTCAATACCCGTCATTTTGCTAACAGGTGGAAGGGTGAAAGGGAAAAGCCCATTATACACAGAGCTATAGGCAAAAAAAACATGCCCAGTGCCCACCACACCCTCATAAAACAGAATTCCAAAAACTCACTTCTGCTCAGGGACCCCATGGCAACCAGGCAAGTTACCAAGTGCAAAGGCATTTGTCACCTAATCTCTGCTAAGAGGGGAGGTCAGCAATGATGATCTTTTAGTCTATACGTTTGTGCCTTATTGACCAATCGTCTGTGCGTTAGGTCACATGGCTGGCAGCTATCCAATTTCAGTGGTTTCTGCAGGGAATAAAGTATTTCAGGCTTTTGTGAAGTGAACCCACGAGGACAGAAATATGGGAGCTGCCATTCTTTTTAAAGCTGCAGACTCCAAGGCCATCTTCCGTATCTTTTCTTTACTACCTATTAATTCACTGGCTATGGGGCTAGTGAAGTCTCCACTCCTATACTACATTCTCGTCAGTGAACTACTTAGCAAGTCAGTGACTCGCTAAGTAGTAAAGTCAGGCTCATGACAACAGCCCTGGAATCCGCACCTTAAAAAAAAAAACAAGTCAGGAATGGTAGCTCATGTTTATCCTCACAGGTTTCCCTTTAATGGAAATGGGTGGGCAGGACAGAAAGGGGTCTAATTGAAGGGTGCCTTAGAATTTAGAAAGCCAGGCAACTAGGCTGAATTGCACAAGGCCACCCAATTCATAAATTCCCTTGCTGCTGCTAATCTGGTCTTCTGGGAGCACCAACTGCTTACCTATGAGAAAACACAGGCCAGATATTTCTTACCCACCCACTCTACTTCCCACAAAATATAGGTATGGTACTCCGTTAGCTGTTGAACAGATCACTAAATTTGTTGGTTGAAATAACTGAGGGTTACATTAAAAGGGTACCAGTGAGCAAAAAAAATATGGGCACTTAAAATTTATAGCAGGTATTCCCACCTTTTTTCACCATGTTGTTATGCCAGTGCACTTTATCCTGCCCCTCCTATGCCTTTCTTTATTTCTGACCCATCACTTGGGCATACAACATAAATAACCAATAGGAGGGAGTGTTGGGTAGTCCACAGCCATAGCAGCTTTATCAGTATTTGCATAATGGAATTTAGTATATAATGGAATTCAGGGCTCAGTGGTGCTATAAAAGAATGTGGGCGTGGCATCTAAAGGCCTGGGAGGGACCTGCTATGAAGTGTGAATGCCACTTTACCGTTCAGTGCCCACCAGCTTCCTTTAAGTGCTAAATGTTGGTGTGTGCGGGGTCTTGCAGATGGACAATACACTGGGCTACTGCACAGGGATTCATGAAGTATCCTACAAGCCAATGCACAGCCTCACTGAGACAGTCTATGGCTGCTGTGATGAAAGTAGACTTGAATGCAGAGTCCTGTGCACAGGTGGGAAGGATGAGAGTACATGGCCTAGTAAATGACAGAATTTTCAGTCTAGCCCAGCTCCATTATGAGGGTCTGGCAGTAAAAGTAAGTGTAGTGAACTACATGGAACTGATTAAGGTTAACTGCACACAAAAGGGAGTAATGGTTCATGTGAAGACCCAGCTGTACATGTAAGGTTCCTTAAAGGAGAACTATGAGGTGAGTGCTTTTCACTCACCTTATAGTTCTAGCCGACCTGTGACAATGAGACTGTCACAGGTCGGCTCAGTAGATCGGGAGGTGAGCGAACACATACCGGCGTTCGCTCACCTCTCGATCCTGTCACGGCTCTCTGCAGTGACAGGGGAGGGGCTGGATTCCCCCCTCCCCGCTCCGATCCGCCAGCGCTGACTGGCGGAACGTACGGGGGAGGGTACAGCTGGTTCTGCCTCTAGATAGGCAGAGCCAGCTGTCAGTCACGCAGCTGGGCGGATCCCGGCATAATTGTCGGGATCCGCTTCAGCTGCGGCGTCTCAGTATACCGCGAGCAGTATACTGAGCCTAGGGTGACGGGAGGACGCTAGTTTGTGTCCTCCCGTTACCCTAAGGAGAACTATGGGGAAAAGCCTTAACCCCATAGTTCTCCTTTAAAGCATCAAAACATGAAGCGGACTTGCATAGAACACAGAATAAGGTTAATGGATTTTAACACTTGTTGCCTGCAGCCTTTAAAAAGCGTTTTCAGGAAGAGAATTTAGTTAAGGAGAATCAAATGCCGTCTAGCCAACACTGCAACTATACTAAAATAACATTCTCATTTTTATTTCTCTGCAATTTACTGCATCAACCAAGCATCTCACAGGATCACTGGGCATGTACTTCCTGCTGTGCTTGGGAAAATCCCTTCCCTGCTTCCTGTATCGCCAGTCACTTTAGAAGAGGTCAAACTTGTTTGGATCTGATTGGTAGCTGTTAATAGTATCTTACTTCTGACTTTGTCATGTCAGGTTTGTGTGTCAACAAAGAGCCTGTGAGTGGGTGTGTTTGGGAACAGCTCTCCTGTATCACAAGCAGGTGATCCCAGATCACTGAATAAAAGGGAGTGGGGTGGTCTAGTGCACAATACCTGGATTAAATAGTTAACTACTGGACAGATGGACTGTGCTCCCCCTATATGCTTCTTGAGCTTTCACAGTGCATGTATCATGGGAATGGCGTATTTTTCTTGGCAACCCCTTCAGCTTTCCTGCTAACCCATCTGAAATATATATTTGTGTCTATGCTTAAGATATATTTATCATTGCGTTGCACAGATTTTCAAGTGCATCTTAGTCTTTAGGCTCCTTTCACAAAAGCCTTACTTTGGAAATCCTTAAAAACAGAATGTAGACATCCTGTTTTTTTACAGTAAACTCCTAAATGGCTTCAGAATGTCAGATTATCCTCCACCTGCTCATCTTTAAAAGGTAACGCCAACAGAAAATTAAAAAAAATTCCATATAGCATATATAAAATTGTCGCGGAAGCCATTTTGTAATTTAAGGTTATTAAAAATGACTGTTCCATTTAAAACTGCAGCCGCTGTAATGTTCTACATCTGTAAAAAAGAAAAAGCAATGCAATATGGCGACCTGGAGGCATTCTGTACACAGTTGGTACACAGAATGCCTACATAAATGTCACTTCCTGCTTCTGTGATTGACTGATTTTCCCAGACGTATGCACTAAGATAAAAGTATACTTGTTGGCATCCCTTGCAATAAGGGTTAATTACTACTAAAATGGACACTGCACCTTTCCTCATTACAACACAAAGTCCACCAGATGGTTAAAATGAACCCAGACCCTCCCCATTCAGGGATCAGTTTGGAAAGGACATGCTACAATATACAGCTTTTTCTTCAGAACAGAAACGGGTAGGAAACTGCAACACAGTTAAAGTCCTTGTAATGTACACAGATCACCCAGAGAAGAATGTTATTTTTTTTCAACAGAAGTGGAAATGTTCTTTAACTACAGTACCACACACACTGGGAACATACAACTGTTGTAAGTATTTTCCCCATAGTTCTCCTTAGGGTAACGGGAGGACACAAACTAGCGTCCTCCCCTCACCCTAGGCTCAGTATACCGAGCTGTAACTTGCGGTATACTGAGACGCCACAGCTGAAGCGGATCCCGACAATTGTGCAGGGATCCGCCCAGCTGCGTGACTGACAGCTGGCTCTGCCTATCTAGAGGCAGAGCCAGCTGTACCCCGCCCCCTCCGTTCCACCAGTCAGCGCAGGGAGGGGGGATCCAGTCCCTCCACTGTCACGGCAGAGAGCCGTGACAGGATCGAGAGGTGAGCGAACGCCGGTATGTGTTCGCTCACCTCCCGATCTACTGAGCCGACCTGTGACAGTCTCATTGTCACAGGTCGGCTAGAACTATGAGGTGAGCGAAAAGCACTCACCTCATAGTTCTCCTTTCAAAACCAGCAGTCCACATGTGCATTTTGCGTGCAAATAGGTCAGCATTAATCTTTGGGTCAGTATTGCAACCAGAGTAACAGTGTTAGGTTTTTTTTTTTTATCCTGTGTCCAGATATTGACCGTCCGCCACTCTCCTCTTTTGCTTGAACTGAGCAGCTATTTAGTGAGGAAATTGGACCTCAGAACGGTCTCACGACTTTTAAAGACGCGCAGATAGTGATTTTCATAGCAGCTAAATTACACAATATACATTTCGAAAAATGTAATCTCTCCCTGAATTGCCTTTAAAATAAAAGCAGCAACAGATGAACATATGCAAGCTTAAAAGAAAAGTTGTTGTTTTTTTCATAAATGTCCCCCACTATCAAGGTTTGGTACAACCTGGAGAGCTCGTTTCCACAGTACCAAAACCATTGACCCAAATAATGGGAGGTCAGATTGAACAGAAGCTGGGTGACCTTTCCTGGGCTTTAACTCACGCTATGACACACTATACTCATATGGAAGAACTGTATTGTTAGATTAGCATAGTAAAAAAAATTTGCTTTCATCCTATTTGCAAGCGCTAAACAGATGTGATAATGGACATTTCCCCTCATGACCGCTGACACCACTCTTCAAAACTGAAGGACTATAGATTGTATTAAAATTCCAGCTTCATTCAAAAAAATTAAACAACCCCAAATGAGACTGATTTACTAAAGCAGTTGATAATTTTTGCACAATGCATTATACAGCACAATTCACACAGCTAAAACACCAGGATCAGGATCCTTATTTCTAAATTAGTGACGGTTATTTTCAGCTACGTCCAATGAGATCTGAAAAACATTCTCACGTGGCTGAAAAGAACCTTATCGTGTAATGCTTTGTGAATTGAGCCTATTGCGTGAAAAGTTACTTTGATCACCTATAAAGCAATCCCCATTTCTTCGACACATGATTGGATATATGAAATATTCTCACTATTATGCGTGTTCATAAAATCGGCATCGTTATTACACTAGTAACAAATATTTTAAAAATTGCTTTGCAACCCATGGCTCTCTTTTGTATGTGGTGTTCCAATTGGAATATTTCCCTCCACTTCCTGTCTCAAAGAAAACCGGAAATGAGAAATCCCCTTAGACCGCTGTCATTGGACAAGTGGAAGACTCCCCCTCACCTCCTCTTCCAGTTACAACCAATGTAAAATGTTGACAAAGGTTGAATTTTCCCATTTAGGACACTGCAATCCTTCCCTTTACTACACCATTTTACCAAAATCCTTGCAATATTTTCAAATGGGTTTGACAACTGTGTATACAAGTTACGTTAACTCAAGGACGACGCATAAAAATATTTGACAATCCAGATTGTGTCCATACTAAAACACAACATGAACTATAACATGAAACTAAGCCTCTGTTTTCAATTGACAGGGAACAGGAAGAGCGCCCCTCTGCGGAACAGCTACTGCAACACCCGTTCACAAGGGAGAAAAACTCAATTCAAAAATTCCCACAGGCACCTGAAGAGGCCTAGGGAGCCGGGAACAAGTACCAGAGTTCCTTATTGCATTCCACACAAAGGAGCAAGAAGATTTGTCTGAGCAGTTCCAGTGCCTAATGGGAGCCCATGACATCACAGAAGACAATGTGAATGATCTTTAATGATGGACTGTGTTCATATATCTGCGTGAAAGAGGAACCCATGGAAGTGCAGTTGTGGGACACAGAAAACTAACTTGGATTAATAAAGCAGCATCTGATATAGTGTATGAGATATTTTAAAGGGAAAACATTGCCTTTACCTGTACTGGGGGGGGAAAAAGTACTCAAAAGTACTCAAAAGTACCAAGATACTTTGGAAGTTGCTTCACTACTTCAGCCAAATGTGTGTGTTAGAGGGTGGGGAAAGGTTAGACCACTAAACTGTTGGGTTTCCATTGTGGTGTAGCCATGATATCTCCTGTTACTGGGCAAGTGGCCATGCAAGAAGTGACGGAAATCTCCCTAGTGGACCACAAGCATCTAACAGAAGATTCCACTCTACATTGAAGAGATTCATCTCAGTTCCTCATGATGTAATTCAGAATTGAAGGAAACTCCCCCAAATGGAACACAAACCTCAAAAGGAGGTTCTTATCCTCCTCCAGGTGCCTGTGCCTAAAAGGCTTAGATGGAAGAAACTATCCCCCAACAAGTGGTTTGCTTTCCTAGATTCGGGAGTGACAATGGTAAGTTGAGCTTCACTGTCCCAGCACAGAGTCTGTAGAATGGACGTAGAATGGCAGATTCAACTTCAGGTGGATATTTTGCTTTGTGGCAGAATCCCTTTACAGGGAGACTGAGGACAGACACATGGAAGCTGCCACTGAAGATGTGTTTTCAAGTGTTCAGTCTCTGCAATGGTCTTTCTGAATCTAGCTTCATTGCTTATCGATTTACACAAACCATGCAGTTCAGTCTGAAAAACCGGAGCTCCTTTCTTGCAGACTTGTTTTGGATCACGGACTTTCTATGTTGTAAAACCAAGAAGACAGCCCAGAGGGTTCATAGACTGATTAGGACAGAATGGGGCAAGGTAGCAGCTTTGGCTTCCACAGCCATTGAAACTGAATGCAAGAGGCATTAGCCATCCCTTTGGCATATTCTGTACTGGAATGGCCCCATCAGACATCAACTGCCTGCAAGTCCATCCTCCCTTATAAAATGACAGGCAGGTGGCCAGCTTTGACAAATTGCTTTCTCCTTGGTTTACTGCAGAAGCATGAAAGCTGTATCTGGTCCTCCTGAACATCTACCGGGCCCCAGGCTCCTGCTTGGGTCATGTTGTGGATGATCCAGCTCTCCTAGAGCCTGCACTTTTAAAAATCAAACAAGCATTGGAAGCATTCATCCTTATGTCTTCACAGGTTCACTTTAGGCTTAAATGGTAAATTCAAAGCCAAATGAAAAGGCGTTGTGTTATGTTCAGCTTCTGTTTGGTGTCATATCTAATTATACTTGTATTAAAATACAAAAATAAAACAAAAGCCAACACTAATTTTGTAATACACTTAATAAAGACAGATTCAACCTAAAAAAATGCTGATAATTGGGACTTATTACTTGTGCTGTTCTTAGAGCAATACAGGCTCAGCACTACAACACCTTGTATGGATCCTAAATAAATAAACCACGTGCCCAGAGCTGTACAAAAGTGTAAAGCAGGGGTAGGCAACCATGGCACTCAAGCCTTGGTCACAACTACAAATCCCATAAGGCATTGCAAGACTGACAGCCAGACATGGCTCCCAGGGGCAGATGCATATTGACATAGGCAGTTTTACCACAGCTGGAGTGCCTAGGTTGCCTACCCCTAGTGTAAACATTTGCACTTTTCTTAAAACCCCCAAATCCCAAATGACTGCCTTGAAGAGACCTCGCACTCAGAATCTGGGCTTTAAATTCCATGCCAGAAAACAAGCAGCAGGATGACCGAAAAAAGATCTTATCGAGCAGGATGAGGCCGCGGAGAGTCTGCAACCAGGTGCAAACTAGGGTAAAGGACCAGTCAATTCTTAGCCAGTCCAAGTCTATAAAAATGGTGGGGAAGTATGGAAGATAGTTCTGGTTTCCCCCACAAAATCAAGTAAGGCCTCCATTGGGCAACCAGTCTAGTGCTGCCAGGGGCTTTGTTCTGGCTACAAACCAATTACATTGTGCTGAGATGCCTTCAGATCCATGTACTGTCTGCCAACAGGCCTTGAGGGTCACTTCTAGACTGATGTGCCAACTACATCTGCCAGCCAGCTTCACACTTCAGGTATGAGATTGGTCAGAGAGCTAGGACATTATTTCTGTGCAGAGGATGAGAATCTACCTTGTGTGCTGTGGCCTCACTCCTACTTGATGGTTTATGTATGCTACTACAGTGGTGTTGCAAGACTATCCTTACAGAGAGGCACTCATCTGCAGTACATTGAAAGCCATCTTAGTGACATCTTAGTGTGCATTAAGAGGTGCAGCCCTCTTTCCATAGAGGGGTGAAGCAGGTTCCTCTACAGAGGTTTGGTGCAAAACTGTGTAAAATGGTCCACCTCAAAAGAGATCACTCTAGGACTCTCATGCATCTAAAAAGACTGCGTTCTGATGGCCTGACCTGTGGCCTTAGCAATTTCAGTTTTCCCGTGGACAGAAAAACCTTAGCTGACCTGGTACCCCAAGCATTGTGGGAGCCATTCAAATTTCAAAAGGGAGTGTAGGGGGGATATGCAGGCTTTGCTGAAAGTCCTGAGCTAAAGCAACTTGGATAATCAGGTTGCCATGAGCCTATAAAACAATATGTCCGTGGTTCTCAGTTCCTCCAGAACTGGGGCCAAAACTATTTGGGATTTTGGGAGCTGGTGCCAACTCAAAGGCTTGTACAAACTGGTGCTGATCCCTTACTGTAAACTGCTGACGCAGAAAGAAAGGGTCACAGGCATCTCGGATGTCTATCGTTAACTCTTCCTGTTTGCAAGAAGCCACAATCAAACAGATTCCATTGTTTTAAGTTCCAGGATGGGACAGACCAACCCATCTTGCGTGGGTAGTACTATGAACAGGCTTTAACTGAAATCTCAAATATTCCCAAGGAATAGGAAAAATACTAGTCCCAAGGCAAAGATACAGAAATCAACAAACAGACCTTTTATCAGAGGACCATGAGGACTTAGTGGCACAAGTTGACCTGTCTGGACTGAGACCTTGGATTTGGCAGAGGATCAGGGGATTTAGAATGTTGCTCCTAAGAGGATGAACTGTCTGTGGAAACACAAAGGAAGGAGTGCCCTTCAGGGCAGGAGACCTCTGTAGAAAATAAGTGCTCGTACTGGCAGTGGCATCCTTGGTGTCAAGAGAATACTCTGTGAAGTGAAGACCAGGATTGGACAGACCATTTTAGCCAAAAGCACCCCCTAAAGTACCACAGCTGCAGAGCTGATGCAGGCTACCACTCCATTCATCCTGTGTTTGGGAGGCATCACAGATAGCTTTGCGAGGTGCTGAAAGCTAATACATTAAGTCAATAAGATGATGTAGATGATGTAGATGATGTAGATGATGTTATGATGCAATATACTAGCCCACTTAGTCACAGTCTGGGAAAGGGATCAGGCTATGACATCCCTTTAGAGAATTTGTATCCTCTGACAATTCTCCTTCACTAAGGGAAGAGGGGGAATCTGCACAGGAACTGTGTGCAGGGACAGGCCCCTGGTAAATTGGTTAAGAATCTGAATGAGGGAGATCTGAGAAAGGGCGTGGGTGTCATGTCCTGGAAATCCTATGGCCTAGATGGGGAGTCTAGATATGGTCTTCCACCCCAATATGTTGTAAAAGGAACTTTCCCAACTGTTGGGAACCAAAAACTTTTTTAAAACAAGATTTTACTGGACTATTCTGTCTTTATGTAATAAAAATGAGTAAAAAAATATCCAGGGCAGCTTTGTAAATAGGCAAATGTTAGAACAGGTTTTTATGCCATAAGAATAAAACATTAGGCTATCCCTTCCAACCTAAAACTCACAAAATAAATGCACTATGGTATTTTAAACGTGCCTGTTCGAGTCCTACTGTTGCAAGAAGAGAAATATATATTGTAAAAGTTAAAATTGAAGACAGAACCCTTTTGTAACTAGAGGGCATTGTGCAGGGCACATTTAGAAATGCATGTGTTGGTTAACCTAATAGCCGATTGATTTGCATAGCTAATTTATATTTAAGAACTTTAGGGCTTTAATCTGGTACACTTAATAAAACCAATATTCAGTTTTTTTGTTTTGATTACAGAGTGACAGATGTGCAGAAATGTAAACAAAATATGTTTAATATTTTAATTGATCTGACAAACATTGCAGCCTGAAAGTAGCCGCGCTCATCTGCAGGCTTAAGGGTTATTTTGTCTGTCTAACTGAGGTCTCATGATCGTCTAAGTTCTACTAGTACGAAAACTTAAAAACAGATTTCTGACTTGTTCTCATTAAAAGGTAATAGTCAAATAAATGTACATTTTCCTTCTGCTAGATAAACGCAAAATAAAAAAATAAACCTTTTACAAAGCTGGAAACTTCAGGAGTATGTGATTAATTTTGGTACTCACCATAAAAATCCTCTTCGTGGAATCCATTGTGGGACAACGGAATTATTAGAATTGTTAGGCCGTCTGTATATATTGCAACCTACAGGAGAAAGATACTGGCATAAAAAAGGGCCATTGGCCAGCATAGGATCACCCTGTCCAAAACCATGCCTCAGTTTTGTAGGAAAGCAGTACCAAGAGCATGAAATTAACATTGAGGGGAGGAATTTGTGTCCCTCACTGGGCTCCAAGAAAAAGATCTCCTGGTGAGTACAAAGATTTCTCTATCATCCATTGAGGAATACTTACAAATCTTAGGCTGTCGGGGCATCCAAAAGCAGTCCAACAGAGAGGTGGGCAACACAGTAACAAAGGCCAACAGGTCCAAGAAAAGAAAAAAACTGGGGACTGCTTACAACTTAAACAGCTGCATGAAGGAT